ATTAAAATTTCAAAAATAAATATATCAATATTAGTATCAAAATAACTATTTAAAAGTTCTTGTTTTTTGTGTAATTTATTCAATTTAATTTTTTATTATAATTTAATTTAGATTTAGCAACGAAGTAATTTATTTTTAATTTAATTATATAATTTTTAAGAATAATAATTAAGTATTCTGCTAAAACTTAATGATTATCCTAAATATATTTTAGATTTTTTATATTTAAAATGAAATATTTATCTTATATTTGAATATGTTTATCTGCAGTTTGTTACATGAATTCAAAAATGGCGTTTTAATAAGTTGTACTTATACACAGTTTATTTATAATCTTGAATTTTAAGTAATATACATCAATAAATAGTACTTTATTCATAAAAAATAGTTTTTAAGAGTTTTTGTTCAAATAAATTTATAATATAATATAGATATTTCATTTTTTCCATTAATTATAAGACTTTTTAGGTATTTAATTACTAAATGAATAATTTGATCCGAGTAATATGATTAAAAATCTTCTAAATTTTTTATCCTTAAACTTAAAAACCATTGCTGCCTTTTAAATCGAAACTATACAAAATAATATCGAAAATGAAGGCAAATAAATTAAATCAAAAAATAAAAACTTTTATTTTATTTATTTTGATATTCATACTCTCATACATTTTCTTTTGTTTAATATAAAAAGAATAATAATCAATTAACTAAATAACTTTTTTTGATTAACCAAGATATCCAACCCGGTACGCGAGCCGACTAAACCCAGGGCGACCACCTGCTTTGTAAATAGTCCGCAGTCACTGTATTTAAACCTCCATGGCAACAAAGAAATTTGTATTCCTTTTTGGATTTGAACTTGAGACCTCCTGTTACTTTTAACTTTTGGAATCAAGCTCAAAGCAATCAGACAACACCCTTGTGATTAATTAACTAAATAATTGTTATGATTAAATTGGATAATTTAATAGGACACTTTTTTGAAAATCCTAATAATTTTTCTAGGAATTTTTGATGGAACGTTATTTAATTTTTAAAAACCCGTTGAAAAATCATTAGAATTTCCGATGAATCGATTATCTGATTCACCATCTTCACCACCTCCGTACAACATCATCTACCTTTATTTACCTTCTCACGTCTATATATATCATTATTAGGGGTGCTTAAAAACCCGACCAACCCAATCAATCCGATCCAAACCAATCCAACTCAACCTAACGTGAAATAATTCAACCCGATGTCTAATCGAGTCGTAAGATCTTCAAACTGTAGGTATTCAGTTGATATTGGGTTAACTTTTATTTGAAATCAACCCAACCCGAAGAACCCAATAACTTTTTATTTCTTGAATTTAATATAATTGTCAAGTCTCTATTAATATGTATATTATAAAATTACACCATCACGTGCCCTCTTTATGTACATATATTTCCAATCTCTTCTCCATCTCTATATAACTCATTCGTATACATGTTCAGTAAATTTAAACATATATATGCAAATTAAGAAAACTAATTGAATGTGATACGCATAAGATTTTAAGTATGAATAAGTTGTACCAAAAGATTGATAACGAAAAAAATGAGTAAAAAAATAACATATTCAAGGTTAGAAGAATATTTCAATGTACTAAACTATCAACCCCACTAACCCTATCAATCCGTACGGTTTGGGTTGGATTGCACTCTGGTTTGGGTTGGGTTGAGTTGAGATTTTTTAAACCACAAACATTAAGTTCGATTGTTCAAATGCCTTCAACCCGATCAACCAATCCATAAGCACCCCTAATCACTAGGACTGAAATTTTATCATATTCATGCATGTAAAGATTACTAGGCCAAGATGATTCGAGGTGAATGTGAATAAGGTGGATGAAGGGTTGATCTTCCTTACAACCATACCATTGAAGTTCCATTTATTTACAAAAAAGCCATAACATTTTCATGAGCAACCATATTTAAAAAAACTCATTCAAAGGCTTAGGAAGTGTTTTAATCTTTCTCACTGAACCTAATTATTCTCACACAATTCCAACTCTCTCTCTATAGAGAAAAAGAGAGAGAGAGAGATTGGATCATGTGAGATCCCATAGTTTTTATCGAGACTTGTATGGCCACCTTATAGGCCCTGGATGTGTTGATCTTGTCGAACCTTCACAACAGGCCCGTCCTTCAGCCCGTTAAATATGGGATTTAGAACAGGACCCCCAAAATGTTGGGGCCCAATTTTCACAGGCCCACCTATTGTAAATCTGTAATGTACGCTACCTAGTCTAACATCGGCCGAGTAAGTAGCAGCGATGAACGGGAGAAATCGATTGAACGAGAGCGATTGAGCGAACCAGACGCCTCGATCTCCTATCTTCTCTCTATCTTGTCGATTGAATTATCCAAAGATGGATAATGATTCGGTTTCAGATTTGCAACGGCAACAAAAACAACGGTAAGATTTTAGATGATTTTTGTATAAGTATTTGTCGATTACTCGATACTCATTACTCATATTGCTATTCTCCTATTCTCAATCTTATAATCTCAAGATTGGTTTGGTCGATTACTCGAATACTCGATTGCTTATTTCTAATTTCATCTGTGTTGGTCACTTGGTTGGTCGATTACTCAATTTTAACCTAATTGACTAATTCCTAAATATTAAAGGTGAGATAAAGTATACAAGATTCTCTAAATTAAGGAATTCCTACAAGATTTTAAATTTTTAATGAAACTTATTTAGTTATTTTTAGTGTGAATTTGTGATATGTTGAAAAGTTTTGGCAAACCGCACAAAGAATGCCAAAAACAGGATATGTTCTTCTTGTTGGTTGCTTGTTGCTGCATTAGACATCCTGCTTTATTCTTTTCTAGTTTACAATTTTGTTCTTCTTGCTGGTTGCCTGACTGTTTTTTGGTTTACAGATTTACTACTTTATTCTTTTCTGGTTTATATGTTTTACTGTTTTGTTTTTTTTAAGTTGATTATGAAGAGCTTATTGAAGATTTTGTTTCCAAGAATGTGAAAAGAATGATTTTATTCAAGTGAAGTTTACATGTTAGACATTACTTTGTCTTTTGGCTGCTTTTATTTGTAACATTTTCAATATATTTGTTTTTTCGGCCAATCTACTTATATTTTTTATAATAGTGTAACAGGGCCTCCAAAAAGATTGGGACGGCCCTGCTTCACAATGGATCACTAAATCGAACCTTCTTCTAGAAAATGCAACAAACTTTCATAGAAAAACACACCAAACGATGTTCACAAGAAGCACATACCGAACCTTCACAATGGTCTCCTGGTTTCATAAAAAAGGGTTGATACAGACACACACAAACACACACAGAGACCAATTATGCTCGTATAATACACAAGACAACATCATATAGTTATTTAGAGTTGTTCAAACACCCTGTACTGAAAAAAAAAATCTTTTATCCCACGTTGACAAATTCTTGCATCGTACATTCGGAATTAGTGTGGATCCATCTACGAGTACATCGCGGGTTCTTCTGCTCATCAATTAATACCAGAAATGCAAAAAGAAATCCTTAAAATACTAAACCTACAAAAAGGGTAATATTACAAGGACTATTTTTGTAACTACACCCAAAAGGAGTTCACCATCACCACTACTTTAAAAAAGTAGCAACCACCAATCCCATATTTTCTTAAGCTCCCCGGAAGTCATAAAAGGAAGATAGAAAAGTTGTAATCAACATTTCACTACAATTTGGCTTTCCTTAAATATGTTACTTTATTTAGGCATGGAAATGGAACGGGGATGGGGCGGTTTTTGTAATTCCTGGTCCCGGCCCCGGCCCCGGTTTGTAATAACGTCCTTCCGCTCCGGCCCCGGTCCCTGGCGGGTACGGGGATTATCATCCCGTCCCCGGTCAAATTCTAGCAATCCCCGGTCAAAACCCGGTAAAACCCCGGTCAAACCCTATAAAAAGTATCCCTTAGTTTGATTCTACCGAGGATTCCCGGCCCCGGCCACGGGACCCGTTTTATTGGGAAATCCCCGTCCCCGTTCGGGTCGGATGAACCGGGTACCGGGTTCCCACCGGGTTGGGACAAATCACCATCCCTAACTTTATTTGTCTCAAAATTATTTTTTATTTTTTATTTTTTATTTTAATTTATCTTAAAATAAATGTCTAATTTTGATAAGTCTTTATTCTTTAATTCATCAATTAAATATAAAATGGAGATATTTATTATTTCTTTATGTAATTAATTACAAAGTTATAACAGATACATATTTATAAAACTAGTTGACTTTTTCGTTATCTAACATTTATTTTCAAACAATATATATGTATGTATAGAACACGTTTTAAATGCAACTCATTACATTTGTACAATCAATACAACCTAATCAATTGAAATATTTATAGCAATGATGAAAGTTCATTTATTACTATTTGAATATTATTTATGGAATATGATTAGAGTTCATTAATTATAATCAATACTTTATATTAGAAAACAATGTAAACTTTTATAAAATTACATGTATATCAAATTAAATGGACGGTTGAGATTGAGTTGTAGTGATTGTACAAATGTAAAGGCTTGTATAATAACTCACCTCTGTGTGTGTTTGTGTGTGTATGTGTATATATATATATATATATATATATATATGAGGTTTACTTTACAAACCACGTTATTTGTACAAACCTCATTCAACCAATTATAATTTTTTATTTTGTTCATTTTTTTGTAATTATAAGAGATTGATTAATCATTTTTATTGTGGAGGGTGTTAATCATGGATATTATCATCTTCATTATTTTAATTTTAAAGAAATACATGAAACAATTTCATTAAAATTTAATTAAGTATTATATGAAACAACTTCATAACCATATATGAAACAATTTTATCAAAAAAAATATTATACGAAACAATTTCATAACCATATATATATTGATGTGTTTTGGTTATTATTTATTGAAGTTGTATAAATAATAAAGTGGGGGAAACTAGCATTGAGGGTGTTATAAATATGGGAGAGAGGCAATCAAGACTCACAACTAGAGAGAGAAAGCTCCAAATTCATGGCAACAATGGCTTCTTGCAATTCTTCCCTTCTTGCAATTCTTCTCTTCAACCTTCTCTTCCAAGGTCTCATCCTTTACTTTCTTTTAAATATTCAACCAGGGTTTTTTAATCGTTAACTGTTTAAATCTGTATATTATTTAATTATTCATTTTGATTTGACTCGTTCAATCAGTTGTTGTGTTCATCTATTATGAAAACATATCCGTTTTATATCGGTCAACTGATAACTTAGGTTTTCAAGGAATGTTGTGAAACACACTACTTGTGACGGGTTTCTTAAAGGAAAATCCTTCTTGAATACACCGTCAAGTTTTCACAACAGATAATTTCCTCACAAATTACAGTTAATCTCCTTGTTTTTTGTGTGCAAAACTGCAACTTTCTATATTGTGCTAACCCAATATGTCTCGTGATATAAACCAAAGAATTTAGATCAAGTAATGTTTTATGCGTGTCTCCCATTTGATTTGGTATGTGTAAACATCAATGTAATGTACCGTGTCTAACCATTCGTCTTTTTTTAGTTAGGTTTTTGTCAGTGTGAACTAAAAGATATAACGATCGGGACAGAAAGGACGCCTGCACAAATAGAAGGTAAACAAGAATGGAACGTGAGTTTCATAAATACATGCAAATGCCCTCAGCAAGCCCTTACAGTCTCTTGCGACGGTTTTCAATCTGTCGAGAAAGTTAATCCAGATATCTTTGCACGTGTCGGGAATAATTGCACCGTTAATGGAGGCCGTCCGATTGCACCTTTCGCGACGGTCCAGTTTCTTTACGCTTGGGACCCTCCTTTTATTTTCGTGCCAATTTCTTCTCATGTCGATTGTGGAGGGGCTTTTAAGTAATTTTACAAAATGATTGGTTTATTTTTGCATTAAAAAAAGTAGTTTGTGGTTGCATTTATTGTAATATATTTTGTTAATCGACTCTTTATAAAAAAAAAAAAAAAAACCACGTAAAGACCTTTTACTTATTTTACTAAAGAAATCATTTTATGTAGTCTATTCATGGTTGTTCATTATAACAAAAGTAGTGTTTGACATCGTGCGTTGAACGATGACAATAATTTTCTTTAAAATTATTTAAGTTAGCTAAATGAGTCAATGATCACGTTTATATATATTAAATTCTTTATATATATTAAATTCTTTATATATATATATAATCTTAGATATTAATCCTTTATTATATCAAACTTTGTAATTGGTTCAAAATCATTAAAAAAAATATGTGAAAATATTGATTATAATCATGAGGTGTATTATGACAATTGTTTTGTCATAATACATATCAATTTATCTCCTACAAATGTTCTCATAAAATATTTAATTCGTCAAACAAACATTGTGTTGTTACCTACTTTGATATAATTGTTGAATATTTTTACAATTTGCTCATATTAGTCATAATATACTCATTTGCATCATTGACCAAACCCCTCCTTGAAACCCCTCTTTTCCTACATACAATTGCACAAAGTGGAACAATAGTATTATGAACATTCCAGATACATAGGAGTCTGCTTGATTTGCTATTTTTCATTTGACTTGTTCGAGTTTTTTAGATTTGTTTTAGACAATTCATAGTTTGATTACTCTATAGAAAAATCCTAAAAGAAGAGGTCTTAATAAAATTATGTAAAATAATATATATATATATATATGTATTATATTGATTCTAGTGCTAATTATATATAGAGTTTGATTTTAGCTTAAATAAGAAATTGATTATATATATATATATAGATATATATATATATATATATATATATAGGTTGGTTATTATACAACCCTTGGCATTTGTGCAACCAATAGAACCCAATCTCAACCGTCCATTTCATTTGATTAATATGTGATTTCATAGAAGTTTTGATTGTTTCTTAATATAAAGTATTGATCATAATTAATGAACCATGT